TCAAATTATCATTTTTGTACACTGAAGTAAGAGTTAAGAACACCATGGACAACTCTAGGATCAATAGTCATGGCCTTGTTGGTTGAATACAATTTTAGTACTATAGGAACATTGTATGTGTGTGCTCAGTGCCTTTTTCCATTCGAATGTGCATGTGGATTATTTTTGTTTATTTTTCCATGTCTTTTTTGTGATTATGTCCATCACTTATGCTGAACTTCAGTTCGTGGAGGTCCTGCAGAACTAAATTTATGTAACTCTCTTCCTTTGGCAGAGAAGAGGAGTAGTTAGTGGTATTGATTATGGGTTCACCGGCGAGGTTAAGAAAATTGATGTTTCACGAATAAAAGAAAGGCTTGATAGTGATAGCATAGTTGTTGTGAGCAATATGGGATACTCGAGCTCAGGAGAAGTGCTAAACTGCAAGTATGTTTTTTTCTCTATCCATGACCTTTGTAGTGACTATATGCACACACATTTTTACTCTTTTACTTTTATGAGAATATATGTAAATGTCCTGTCTATATTCAAAGATTCTGAAGTACTATTGCCCCATCTACTCTTTCTATATACTGCAGCTAGCCTACTAAACTAAATTTGTTCTATCTTCTTTGGCTGCATTCAGCACTTATGAAGTAGCTACTGCGTGTGCTTTAGCCATTGAGGCGGATAAGCTGATCTGCATTGTAGATGGCCAGATATTTGATGAGCATGGACGTGTCATTCCTTTCATGTCTCTTGAGGAAGCAGATATGTTGATCAGAAAGCGTGCTAAGCAAAGTGATATCGCAGCAAATTATGTCAAGGTTGTGGACGAGGAGGGTATCAGTCATTTGCATGAGGATGTCAAACCATTTTTGAACGGAAGCGGTCCTCTTGGTGCATATGCTGCTTCTTTCCATAATGGCTTGGGTTTCAACAATGGAAATGGTATTTTATCTGGTGAGCAAGGATTTGCTATTGGTGGTGAAGAGCGGTTAAGTAGATCAAATGCCTATCTTTCTGAGTTGGCAGCAGCAGCATTTGTATGCCATGTAAGTGCTTCTCTTCTTTCAAGTCATGTTGGACCAAAAAGGAGCCCCTTATCTCATTTTTCATTATTTACTGTGTTACTTTAGGCTTGCTGAGGAGAGAGGATAGTACAATAGTGTAACCTTTCAAGTTTGAGGACAGTTTCTATTTTTATTCTTGAATATGAAATTTGTTTCTTGTATGCTAGGGTGGTGTTCAAAGAGTTCATATCATAGATGGAACAGTTGATGGATCACTGCTATTAGAATTGTTTACAAGAGATGGTACAGGAACAATGATAGCTAGGTATGTTGAACTTCTGTTATCAGTTTTTGATCAAATATTACAGTTTCCATGCACAAGCAAAATCTCCGACGCCTGTTTTATCCTTATGTGCACTTAGATGCATCTCCTGAACAGTTAATTGCTTGTAACATCATCCCTAATTCCTACAGAAGTCATTTGTGCACAAAATCAAAGGCCTTTCCTAACTTTTCGTCATAGTATATGCGAGTTCTGAAGTTGTACCCTTGGCTGCGATGGCCTGCATCTTTTCATCATAGTAATGCTACAAATATCCTCAGCATGATATATATATTTTTATAAGGAACTAAATACATTTAAGAATTTAGCTTCTACAAGTTAACGTTGAGATGTCTATTTATACAGTAATACTTGGTTTTCAGGGATGTGTATGAAGGAACAAGGATAGCTAGAGAGGAGGATCTTCTTGGGATAAGAAAAATTCTTCGACCACTAGAAGAATCTGGTGTTTTGGTGAAGAGAACTGATAAGGAGGTGTGCTAAAATCCTATCTAATGATCTTTACAGCGTATGCTTTCGTTGAATCCGGTTGTGTGCTTCAATTTAGCTCTAATTTATGCTTTATATTCAATTTAGCTTCTTGAAGCACTGGAGTCGTTCTATGTTGTTGAAAGGGATGGTTCAATCATTGGATGTGCTGCTCTGTTCCCATTTCCCGAAGATAAATCTGGAGAAGTTGCTGCGATTGCTGTATCTGAAGAATGCCGAGGAAGAGGTCAAGGGGACAAGTTGCTTGGTACGCTCATTGCTTTATGTCATCCCTGTTTGGTTTCCTTAAGTTAGCCATCAAATTGTAGTTGGTTCAAACTTCAAAAACCAATACTTCACAAAGAAATTTTACAGTCCTTGAGAGGTACTAGGAGGTACCAAAAATTTTTAGTACAAATTTGGTACCTCCTAGTACTGGAGGTTCCGAGAGGTATCAAATTTTACACTAGAAAATGTGGTACCTCTTAGTGCTTCATCAAGGACTGCAAAATCACTCTCACGAAAAACAATCAAACAGTATTTATCTTCATTTGAAATAGACGGATTTATCTTCAACAAAATCCAATGTCTTGTCATAAGATGCAAAACTGAAAAAGCTTGATGCGTTTAACATTATTTCCCTGAGATGCATTTAACATTATTTCGGTAGCTTAATGCAACCACACTCCCACCATCCTTTCCCTGAACATGCACACATCATGTGCCAGTGCATATCCCTTCGTCCACCTACTTATTTTGTCACATGCACATGTAAGCCTAAAAACTATAAGAGGGAAGAAACTACCTGCAAAGAGGGAATTCATGCTGTAGTCTTGTAACTACTAGTCTACTACCAAACTATCTGATTGTTACTAAGCCAGGAAACATGAATGTGGATTTTCTGCGCATCATTGTTCCAGTTAACAACTCCTCATTTGTATTTGAAGAGCTTTTATGCACCTGTATTGATTTATTATGGAAAGTCTATTGTGCATCTTGTTTTACTCAAGATTATGATGATGCTTCAGACTATATTGAGAAGGCAGCAATGTCCCTTGGTCTGGAGAAATTATTCTTGCTCACGACACGGACAGCTGATTGGTATGCAACTTTATCCTTCTCTTGGTCCATTATATGGGTTGTTTCATATGCATGATTTAATGACTAAATAGCCTATCATTGTGCTCTGTTTCGAATAACAAGGAGTATTAATACTTAGCTAATAAAATATTCATAGAGGACGATGTAACAGTCTGTGTTGTGCAATATGTATGTCACTCTGTGCTGGGAGTATAATTTCTTTCTTGAATCTAGCTGATGATCTAATATGTTTTCATATGGCTTAGTTAGGACCTGTACATACTAAAAATATCAAGGTACTTCAAGTACAGTAAACACATGGAGAAAAATGACAAATTACTGGAGCTATGTTCAGATATTACAAGATTATTTTATTTTGTGAGGATTTTAGGCTAGATTATAATATCTAAGCCTTCTATATATCTCTAGCGCTTAATTTGAAACTGATGCAGGTTTGTGCGGCGTGGCTTCTTGGAGTGTTCGATTGAATCCATTCCTGAGCAAAGGAGAAAACGCATCAATTTATCACGAGGATCAAAGTATTATATAAAGCAGCTTCAGCCAAAGCACGCCAGTGTTACTCCCAACAATATTACTGCCAGATGATATAACGCATATGGAATTGGTGCAGTTCAACACTATATCAGCTCTGAGCCTCTGACGCCACCAAATTTTGAAGGTATGTTGTACTAAATTAGGATTTCAGGGAGAGAAACATAGGAACTGTTAGTGATGTCGATTTTTGAAATGTTGTGTTAATTTATTTACATGGTTGCAAAGGAAATTTGTTGCACAATAGAATCAGAGTAGATCATACCTGGAGAAATTCTATATAAGTAGGCTGAAAGCTTGAAAAGGAACTTCTGATAAGTGGGAGTAACCGGCAAAAAGAGAATATTTTACGTCAGGTTCCCTATTTATGTGATGCTGATAACGACCTCACACGCACGCCAATAGCGTGCACCTGGAGGCATTCTACTACCATAGTTTTAGACCAGGCAAGACCGTTTGATGGCAATACATTTCGGGTTTGGTCTTCCATGAAAGTTTGGTAATCACATGGCAGGGGCCCCAGGGCTGGCAGCATACACGGATCAAAATCCACTTACCAGTCAGTTAGACTAGCGACTGGTTCATCACAAAACCGGTAACCTGATTTTGTACACTCTTTGCACGCGCCAAGATGATTTTGGCTTCTAGACACGGTTTGTATGTGGATATATTAAATGTAAAGCAGCAACCGTCAGAGCTTTTATCATAAGCTGATTCCAGAAGATGCACCCAAAAGAAGCACAAGGTTGGCGTTGCATCTCGATGATGAATGTTTATGTGGATGTTTGATTGCTTACAACCAACTTGGGCTGGCTCACGCGGATTCCCTTATAAGAAAAGCTGAAATTGATGGATTATCTGGTTTTTAGTCAGCCTATTCAAGAATATAAACAAATGAATTAATTAACTAATGTAAAGAAGCTTTAGAAAACTATTTCAAGAAAAATATCATATTGAAAATTTTCGTACGAAATGTTCCGTTAATAAAAATCTGAAATCTAGAATCATATCAGGGTCGAACTAACGCAAAATGTAGGACTGGCAGAATCATAACAGGGTCAATGCAGGACTGGGATTTGGGTTATCTGGGCGAGGTTCATTTAACCAGCTAACAGCCGAACAACACTAATGGCGATGCCTAGTAACGTGTAAAACGTGACGTCGCAATCTGATTTTGGGTTATCTGTCTTGTGCCTTTTACTGTATAAAAAGACGACGTGTGCCTGGCGCAATGATACAGCCTCAAGACCTGGAAAAGTATCCAGACAACGCAATCTGGAAAAGAATTTATCAGAAAATATCTAAAAGCATGTCGCCACACGAATTTCACTTCAGCTAGTCGCGAGGCCTTGATGTTATATATGATCGTAATTACAATAATTAAGGAAAAAAATTACTGGGCAAGCTGTTCGTTCGAACAAGAAACGTAAGATTCCTTCAAAAAGAAACGCACCAGTCAAAGTCAGTGCCCAGTGAGACCCGGCGGCTTATGAGGTGATCAGGGTATTTTCAAAGCAACGCAAGTGTTACCCCGCAGCAATGGTAAAGAAATCAAATGGCAGACATAACAAGAACGAATTCAACTTGCACTCCGCAACCCGGGTTGAATTCCACCAGCAAGATTGGAATCAACAGTAGTACACAACTATATAGTTTTAGCCATCCATCAAACACTGATCAAATAAATCAGGTTCAGAGAGGTTCATAAACAAGGCGAATAACAGGTAATAATGCCGAACACGAAATCTAGCAGCATTTTCTCATAGCAGTTCGGTTTGATCAGCTCCATGAAACAAATCTCTTCAGCTCTCTTGCACCCGTCGCCTCTATCCTCAGAAGCAGGCGTCCAGGAGACAGCAGCAGCAGAGGGCAGCCAAGCTGTTACAACACATCATTAGAATCATGACACCAAAATTGAAACTGATAAAGGCAGCAGGTAAGTATAGTATTGCCATTTGAACAAAGGCATATGCTCAATCTAAAATAAGTCCCTAAATATGTCCAGCCGTCCATTGACAAACTGCATTATTCAAATTGCAACTAGGTTAGCAACACAATTAGTGATGGAACACCCGCCAAGACTAATCATAATCATCTCGGGGGGAAGAAGAGAACCGTTCTTTGGTATTAGCGCGTCAACGAAAATATAATATCTCTCTATAAAAAACCAAGAAAGATATACTTACTACGGAGTATAGTAGTATTATCCTAGGTGACCTCTCCCCAAAGGAATCTGTGAAAAGCACATTTTTATTCTCCTACAGGCTTTTGAACTTATCTTTCCTCTAGCCAAAACTCCAGCAACCAACCAAAATTCACAAGGAAACAACAAATGGTAAGCACCAAGGGAATGTGACTGCATCACAGCCGTCCATCCAAGATCAGACGGCCATCACTGGTGCAAGGAGAAGACAGCCAGACCCCCTCGTGGCATGCAAGTGCAACCTCGTCGTCGCCTTGCTTGGAAGGACCGACACGTCAACGAAACCCACGTTTCAAGGGGTGGTAGTTCACGCGTCTATTCAGGGCCCCACCACAGCGAACGTGCGCCGCCGCCGCCGCCGCCGCCGCGGCGGACGCGCCGGCCACCGCACCCGTCGGCGTGGACAGATCTGAGACCAGCGTCCGGTAATTACTACTACTACTCCCTAACCGCCTAAATAGCACTAAAATTTTGATCTAATCAAACAATCTAGTACTACTTCAAATTCAAAATCTACTAGTAGTGCACAAGAGCAACGAAGAAGATGCTGAATTGTTGATTAAAAAAAAAGAGGCGAGACGAGACGAAGTGCTCACCATCCCTCCATGAAGGAAGGGCCGCTGCTGTGCTGCTGCTGCTGGGGCGGCGGCTGCGCGTACGGCGGAGGGTAGCCCTGCTGCGGGGGGTACCCAGCCGGTGGGTAGCCCTGCGCCGGCGGGTAGCCGGCCGGTGGGTACCCCGGCGGCGGGTAGCCGTCCTTCCCCGGGTAACCTGAACAAACACAAGATCCAGACACGGCCAAGATTCAGTCAAACCATCCACAAGAAACCACACAAGCACACACATAATTTTTTTTAAAAAAAAGCCGAGGAGGAAGAAGAAGAAGAACACGGGGAGCCGGAGATTTCGAACCTTGCTGCGGCGGGACGCCGACGGGAGGTTGCTGGCCGTAGTAGCTCATCTTTTCTTCTTCTTCTTCTTCCTCGGGTATCCGGCGATCGAATAAACTGATTGAATACGATCACCTTGCGGAGACGGGGGCGGCTTTATAGATAGGCCGTGTGGGCGAATCGTGACGGGTTATTATTGCTTTGTTCCGGGAATATATTTTCGCTTTTTAGGCAACCGCGTCCCGAACGTGGCCCGGGGTGGTGGGCGATATGGTAATTTCCTCGAGCCTTCGGCCTGGACCCCAACTCTGATTATATTACGGTGGATGGCTTTCCAACACCAACGGTGCTTTTGGTTGTAGGGAGTTTTTAGGAGATATTGGGAGTTTAGAGGGATAAGCCTATTAAGTGTTTTGTTTGGTTGGGAGACATGGGAATTTTTGTGGGATGAGGATGAGGAATTGAGGAAGGAACTCCCTCCTTTTCAATATCTGGATAGGGGTAGGTAATTGGGAGGGAATTCCTCCTTTAATTTGTCTAAGCAAATCTCAGCCATCCGTTTTTATTAATGACCTAATCTCCAACTAAACTCCCTATCAATTTCCATTACCTCTACCAAACAAGATATTGGGATTAAAAATCAAATTCCCATATTAATCTCATCATCAATTCCCTCATGTAAACTCCCAATCCCCTTCCCTCGAGTTAACAAACAAGCCGCAACAGGTTAAGTTAGAAGATATTGTTTCAAAATACTAAACGGTTTCATAAAAAACTTTCTATAGAGAAGTTGTTTTAAAATATCAAATATATATATTTATTATGTGTTAATTAGGTTTTACTTAGAAAAATATATGTGCGTTGCAACAGGCAAATGCTATCTTAATATTATACGGTTTAAATAAGATGAAATTCACTGTGGGAATTTACTTGGATTTTTTTTAGAAAATCATGAGCTTCAATTAGAAGTCCGACTTTCATCTCAAGTTAGCATGTAAGGTTTTTTTAAAGAAACTTCTTATACGACTTCTTTTGTATTTTCAAAAGCAAACAAACTTAAAATCCGACTCATACATGGATTTCTATTTCCAAAAGCGAATGAACTTAAAAACAGACTCAAATACGGATGATGTACAAAAATACCGGTAAAAACATCTTCAATTTTTATAATAGTATAGATTTATTACAAAGTTGACAAATATATTCATCCATATTTGATATTTTAAAACAACTTCTACATAGAAAGTTTCCGTATGAAATGCACCGTTTAATAGTTTGAAAAACGTACTATGAAAATCGAGTTAAAAACTAAGTCTTTTTGACTGGGAATACTGTCAAGGCTTTGCCTAGCAGTTTAAATTTTATAGAAAAATAAAATATTTACAAAGTTACAGATAATACACAAAAGAGAAGAAAAGGCAACAAAGCTATAAAGTGTGCAACCAATTAGAAACATATTGTTTCAGGGAATCCTTCATTCTGTGCACAGATGCAGAAGAGTTTATTTCACAAAAAGGGATTTCCAGGATTGAAATGAAGGTTAATATTTTGAAAGATAAGTCCATTGCTATGCTTCTAAATGTGCCATGACGCCATAAAGAAAATCTCAAGAAAACCTCTTTGACTAAACCTGAGCCTTGCCAGGACAACCATCTGAAAAAAATTTCAGGTTTTGGTTCCAATGAATTCCCAAATACTGTCAACATCTAGCACTAAAAGCGCAAGTGAAAAAATGATAAAGTCTTGTTTCCCTCTAATCAACATTAATAAGAAAAGAACATGAAACGGAGTGTTTTTGAGAAAAATAATGTAACTAGTGTTGGAAATTTGGTCATAATTCGGCATATTTTATTCCAAAATAACAAGATAATAAACATGATATTTACAATAGGATTTGATCCAGTGATAGTGGTGAATGTAATCAACATGAGCATGCTTAACGTTGAATAAGCATCAACAATCACATAATGACACAATGTTGACATTGCGATGAACATTAACAGTAAAACTTCTAATTGAAATAATGTAATAAGGTTATACCCCAAGAATGGTCCTCCGCTGGAGTTTGAGGCAGTATTGCCTCCGTTGGTGTTGACGGGAGTCTCCTTCTCCTTGTCTCCAGTGTTCGACATGTTGGTGAAGATGAAGTAGATGTTGACGAACAGTGAGTAGTCGCGCCTTGCGCTCCCCAAAAACCTGATCGCCCGCCCGTCTGTGCAAACGTCGCAGCAACGCGTGGTTTCGGAGGCCTACTCTCCCAACGCGTGTGCACACACTGGTCGGGATGGGATTACCGTAGCAGCAACAGCTTTTGAAAATGGATGAAAGTGTGTCTTCTTCTTCTCGCGGGAGATCAAATCCATTCCCATTTTATAAGAGGAATGGAAGATGAAGAGTAAGAGTCATGGAATAGGAAGAGGAATGGAGCAACTAATTGTCATCAACTAGCCATGAACCATCCTCTACTACACAACCATCAACCAACAATCAATTAAGAGTAATTGATGTAAGTTACCAATGGAATAGGAAGAGGAATAGAGCAACTAATTGTCATCAACTAGCCATGAACCATCCTCCACTACACAACCATCAACCATCCATCAATTAGGACTAATTGATATAAGTTACCAATTCCTTAATCAAATGGATTAATTCTCAAAACTCTTCATCCCATTGATATCCCATAGAAGAATGAATTCACATGAATTCCTAGCATAATGAGCCTTGGAATTTATTTGATTTAATTGATTTAAATGGATTAATTACCCAATTAAATCTAACAATCCCCACCAAATTTCAAGGCTCATGAGAATGCTCTCTATTCCATAGCAGCTTTTATATACCAGTGTTTCGGTGAAGACTGTTAAGTTGAACTTTCACCTAGAAAAAGAGCTACACCTGACCACAACTGAACAATGGACTATGCCTTGAATTGTCAGTCTTGTGCAGTTAGGTTTCACTCAATTCCATAACTGATACTAGGCAACCATTAGTATTCCCTCGGGTTGGAGCTTATAAGTCATACTCCAGGCCTTTCATGAGTATCTAGAGATCACCCAAATCTCATAGACTGTGACTAGCAGTCGAACTCATATAGGTGTGTTCCTTCTAAGATGTTCTGCAGGTCAACATCTCTGCTTGGAAAAGCCACTCGGATCACATTAAGACATAAGCCATCCTACCATGCAGGAAAGAAGAGAAGCACATCATGAAAATGAGCCCTTTTCAAGGGTCTCTTCTCTCAGTCACACAATAGTTTGTTTCACCATCCAAATTCACGGGATCTCCGATCATAATGGACAGGTTTCCACTATTATGCAACCTTAGGTGGGTATCAAGCCCATTTCCCTCGATGCACTGTCTATCACATTACGTGGTAGCCCCTTGGTAAACTGATCTGCCAGATTTCTAGCCGTTTGGACATAGTCCAATGCTATCACTCCGGAGTTTTTCTGCTTTCTGACAGATTTCAGTCTTCTCTTGATGTGTCTAGATGACTTCATGTTGTCCTTTGAACTGTTCACTTTAATAATCACTGTTTGATTATCGCAGTTCATTAGGATAGCTGGCACTGGTTTTTCAACCACCGGCAAATCCATCAGGAGTTCACGAAGCCACTCGGCCTCAACTATCGCAGTATCTAGTGCTGTAAGTTCTGCTTCCATTGTTGACCTCGTTAAGATGGTCTGCTTGCAAGACTTCCAGGAAACAGCGCCACCTCCAAGTGTGAACACATATCCACTTGTGGCTTTTATCTCATCAGCATCAGATATCCAGTTTGAGTCACTATACCCTTCTAGTACTTTTGGATACCCGGTATAGTGAATTCCATAGCTCATAGTACCCTTTAGATAGCGCATTACTCTTTCCAGAGCCTGCCAATGATCATCTCCCGGATTTGAGACAAACCGGCTCAGCTTGCTTACAGCAAATGAGATGTCAGGCCTCGTTGCGTTAGCCAAGTACATCAATGAACCAATGATTTGAGAGTATCTCAGCTGATCCCTTGCTATTCTTCGGTTTTTCCTTAATAGCACGCTGGGATCATAAGGAGTAGGAGCTGGCTTGCAGTCACTATATCCAAAGCGACTCAAAACCTTGTCCACATAGTGGGATTGCACAAGTGTAATCCCACCCTCATCTCCTCTTTGTAGTTTGATGTTAAGAATAACATCAGCCTCTCCCAAATCTTTCATTTCAAAACTCTTGGACAGATAGTCTTTGACCTCCTCAATCACATTAAGGCTGGTCCCAAAGATCAGTATGTCATCGACATATAAGCACAAGATCACCCCTTCTCCCCCACCATAGCGATAGTATACACATTTGTCAGCTTCGTTCACAACAAAGCCTGCAGATGTAAGCGTGGTGTCAAACTTCTCATGCCATTGCTTAGGTGCTTGCTTGAGGCCATACAAGGATTTCAATAGTTTACACACCATTCCCTCCTGACCTTCTAGTACATACCCGTCTGGTTGATCCATATAGATCTCCTCCTCCAGCTCTCCGTTTATGAAAGCTGTCTTAACGTCCATCTGATGGACGAGAAGACCATGAGAGGCTGCCAGAGCAAGTAGTACTCGAATCGTGGTCAAGCGAGCAACTGGTGAGTATGTGTCGAAGAAGTCCTCGCCTTCCTTTTGGGTATAACCCTTGGCCACAAGCCTTGCCTTGTACTTTTCGATTGTACCATCAGGCCTAAGCTTTTTCTTGAAAACCCATTTGCATCCTACGGGCTTGCACCCATATGGACGCTCAACAACTTCCCAAGTACCATTAGACATAATCGAGTCCATTTCACTGCGTACTGCTTCCTTCCAGTAGTCAGCGTCAGGAGATGAATATGCCTCTTCTATGGTTCTTGGGGTGTCATCCACTAGGTATACAATGTAGTCATCTCCAAAGGATTTTGCAACCCTTTGTCTCTTACTCTTGCGAGTATCTACAATGTTGTCCTCCTCAGGATTTTCCTCAGGCGTTTGATCATTGTGTTCTATCGGTGCAAAGTGCTCATGGGGCATGACAGTTTCTTTACTAGAAGTGCTAGGTGTATATTTCATAGGAAATTCATTCTCAAAGAATGTAGCATCTCTGGACTCAAGAATTGTACCAACATGCATGTCGGGTACTCCAGAGTTTAATATTAAGAATCTATAACCCACACTGTGGATAGCATAACCAAGAAACACACAATCAACAGTTTTTGGTCCAAGTTTCCGCTTTTTGGCTATAGGTACATTTACCTTGGC